TTGATGCACTGCTACATTATAAAGGCGATGTTTGTAACTAATAAACTCAAAACATTATTAAACCTATTTCATTTTTTTTTACAGTTAAAAGGCTGCATTATCTCTCTGTATTATAGACTATATTTAATATTATTATAACATTTTTTAAAGTAAACATCAACACATGCGAAACAGGGACTAGTCGCTAGTTTTTATTTAATCACCTAAAACTTAGTAACTTCCACGTTTACAATTGAAATGTCTTATTTGTTGTAAATTAGTTCCACTTCCTTAATTATATAGTAAATCATTATAACGGAGAATAATAAATACCTTATCTAGTCTGCGGAAGTGGAAATGAGAAACAGTGTCCACACGTTAGTACCAAACCGGTCTTGGGGTCCAATCGTTCTAAACGATGAAGATTTTTTGAACTCTAACGGAAAATAAAATGATCGCAAACACAGAGGCTATTCAAAATGTAATATATCAAAGGTTTTTTTGCACTTTTTTTGAATTTCCTTGGACAAAGATAACGGTACTTCCCTATGTTAAAAAACAAGGTAAACAATCATATTACCGCTTCACGATTAAAAAGACCTGAAAGAAGATCAAGATGCAAACATCTAAGTATTTGGACCATATTTATTCAAATTTTGTTACTCTTAAAAACCGATTTCCTAGCTACAAAACTTTTTATAAAGTAAAGTAAGTAACCATAGCAATAACCTGCTTGAAGGAAATCTTGAGGCGGTTAGCCGGCACATATACTAGTAGCATGTAAAGAACAGACATGAACTGTCGAAGTTGTTCAGCAGTGAACCAAGTTGCAGTGATTAGATAACTTTGTAGTACACCGCATGGTAAGGTAACGCCGTATTCATCAGATAATGGGAAAATGTTTCATAGCGACCACGAATACGTCGTGAAAATACATTGTTGTGGTTATTTCAAATGTTAATAACTTGTTACTAAGACTGTCTAGTCGAAACTTGTATTTCCATATTAATTAACAAAGTACAAGTAATACTTTTTTTCGATTTTTCGAATTTTCATATGTACGAGTACATAATTTACCCGACGTTCTTACGGTGAAGGAAAACTTCGTGATGCAACCTGCACATATCGGCGAAGAAATTCAAAGGTATGTGTGAAGTCAACCAACCTGCAATTGGCCAGCGTGGTTGACTATGGCCTAGTTACCGCTTAATAGGGTAGGCTCCGAGCTCCTCGGTGGGGACGTATAGTGAGCTGATGATGATGATGATGTAGTTAGTATTCGATAAACCGTTTATTAAATAAAACTTTAGTGAATTAATTTTAGGTAACATTTAGTAAAATGTTGTATAAAAGTGTGTCATAATAGAATTAAAATAAAGGAAACATCTTTCTCTGTCATCTCAAATCTCCAGAGTAAAAATACCAAACTTTAAACGCAACTTCCCATAAAACATACATTTTGAGTTAAATATTTTTATAAATAAAGGTGCGATTCTGATCTAAATTAACACAAGAATCACGTATTCGTGTTATCAAGACAATTTATTATGATAATAAATAACATCGAAAAACATAAGTTACCCACAAGTACAATAATGTTGACCCAGTCTTAGACAACACAATTCAACTGCTTTTTATTTATTAAGTAGTATAAATCTGCACAGGTAATTAAAATATCAATCTAAAGAAAAAACAACTGAATCTTCACTTATTTTGTTCTAAAATCAAGTTCTTAATTTGTTCACATTCATTTTCATGTTACATTCGAAATTCTTGTAAAACGAAAACGGTATCTGTTTTATAAACTGTTTGCTTTTTGTTCATCGAAATTGAAGTTATATATTCGTATTTGTACGAACGGATAAAAATAAAATTCAAGGGGATCGTCGATCTACATCGAAACCAATTATATAAATAAAATAAGGGAGCCGGCGATCTACGATCGAAATAAAAATAAGAACCAAGGTAATGATGTCTAAAATAAAAATGTAAAGTAAAATGTTCAAAATATATGAATCAATTTTTAATTTGGCGATATTTATATTCTGTAAATAATACAAAATAACAAACAAAAACAAGGTTTGACTATTACGGTTCTTTGACCGACTTCCCAAAATAAGGAGGTACTCAATTCGTCTATGTGTTTTTTTTAGGATTTACTTCTGTATCTGAAATCGTAAGTAAACTGTTAATCCGTAAAGTTTTAAAAGTCTTACAGATGTAATAAACATCTCGACTTTTGGCAGATCTACAACAATCAAATGAATAAGGAATTATAAAGATCGGTGTATATGTACCGCATTTACCAGATAATATACGTCTGTCAAACATCTTTATTTTAAACAATTCTTGGAAATATTTCTATTTTTTCTTCTTCAGCAACAGTACTCACGTTTTCCATTTTTAAAATTCGCCATTTTTCTTTTATTTGTTTACTTATATCTATTTTTATCTACTTGAGGAGAAACTCTTATGGAACAAGATGTGTTGTTTGAGAGTTTTCGATAAAACGTTAATAGTCCTCAGCAATGAAATGGTGATTTAATTTTTTTTTGTCCTTTTGTTATGTCACTTATTCATCACTTATTGCCATTTAATTAATTCTGCAGAATCTTTTCAATAAATCAATGTACGTGAAGATGTCACCTACCTTCTTAATATTTCTCAGGCGTAGACTTAACGACTTTAATTCTTAAAAACACGTGCGTCAGTTACGCGTTGCCATCTACAATTTATTGAAATTTTAAATAACTAATGTTATGCGAATTCATTTAACATAAACTACGATACTGTTTAAATAAAATCTTTGCGTGGAAATCAATGTACACAATGTGACAGCGGCTGAAGATGAATAGCTTTACGTTCCTCACGTCTGCGAGGGACGAATAACAATACAAAACTTTATATCTTTACCATGTGTTTTATTGCCTTCGATAAAAACAAATCACATGGACGTAATCCAGTCAAAATTACTCATAAGTTAACTATCGTTCAATCGGCACTAATATTATTAAGAGGAAAGATTTGTAGTTTTGTATGCTTTGAAGTAACTCAAAAACTACTGGTAGGATTTCTAAGACTCTTTTACCATTATAAAGCTACGTTATCTTTAAGTCACATAGGCTATATTTTTTTTACTATTTTTTTGATATCACGCGGACGAATTCGCGAGCAATAGTCAGTATTTTATCTGATACTATTGTTGGAGGTATTTTGAAAATATTCGTTTTATTTTTAATATAAACAGAAAGTACTGCAAAATACTTGCATAAAGATTCTGTTGCAACAATTCCTGGCAACGCATCAATTCGAAGTGCGTTAATGCATTTTACAACTTTGTTATGAGTTCACGTTCACGTTGGATTCAAGTATTTAGGGCATTATGTCCAAAAATAATTGTGTTTTGAATGTTATACGGATTTTCTTTATTTAAAATTAAGAGTACTTTCTTTATATTTGTTGACAAAGACTACTTACAATTTTTATTTTAACCTACATACATGTTTGAATTAAATTTCCAGTCTAAATCAAGGTGACAAAGAAAGGATGTACCTTTGTTACCCATGTTAAGTTAATTAAAGACGTGTAGCTCACCATCAGTGTTAAAACACTTAGTCACTTTATTGTTCTGTATAAAGTGCGTAACAACGACGGTCAAGGATGGCTGGTAGTGCGCAGGCGCAGCGCCGCTCGCCTCAGGAATTTACACACAATACACCAAGCTGTCCTTGGAAATGAAAATATACGACAGTCGCTTCATTTATGTTTGAGAAACATTTTAAAATAAATGAGATATTGTAATTTTATAACGAACTAGCTTTTGCCCGCGACTCAGTCCGCGTGAAATTTAAAAATAATAAGAAAAGAAATGAAAAAATATAGCCTATGATACTCTCAGATAAATTACCTTTCTAACGATGAAATAATTTTAAAAATTTTCCCAGTAGTTATTGAACTTATTCATTACAATCAAACAAACAAAGTTTTCTTCTTTATAACATTAGTATAAATAATGTAAATATTTTATTCTTTAGCATTTGAAAGTCAACAGATCATAAATGTGACTAGGATTAAAAATATTGTTTAGGATAGAATAAAAATATAAAAAAATGCTAAAACAAAAAAGGTTTGGTACCTTTTAAGTCTGAGACCAATGCCACTTTAAAAGTGCTTAAAACGATTATTAGTAGTTTCTCAATTATAATGCAAGATGTTCCAATAATCATTATATTCCAAAGGCGTGGTCGCTAAGATTTTCCTTTCTATCATATGTTATCGCATCTACAAATGCATTGGACTAGCAATTACCAGTTGACGCTTATTCTTCGTGTAACTTTGATAACCTTTTGCCCGCCTTTCCTACATGTATTGATTATTTTATCACTAAACGCGAGCTATCCATTTATTTCCGATGTAAACATTTATATCAACGGAATAACATCATCATAATCATCATCTCCCCTGTCTTATCCTACTCAAGTAGGGTCGGCGCACCGGGTTTTCGTCCTCCAAAGCACTCTATCATCCGTCATCTCAGTCATCACTCCCTTCTTGATCATGTCACCTTTCACGCATTCCAATAACAGCTTGTCTATGTTTTTTCTAAGGCAATCATTTATTTTAAGATTTTTTATCTACATGTAGGTTTAAATTTAAGTTAATTCGCTTGTTTAAATATGATATGAGAGCACCAAAACTTCCTTATTAAGGTTCATTAGCATTGTGAATGTTATCTATCAGATGTTGTTATAACAAAGGGTGCTTGTAAATTAATTGATACATGTTCAGTATACTTTACTAAGCACTAAAACAAACGCGCAACGAATAAAAACGACAACTAAAGCTGTGCACACATAAGAGTTATTTGAACAAGATTATTGAGCCGTAATTTATGAAGATGGAAATACCATTTTATTTATTAAATTCTAGTCTGTTCTCAATCCATTCCTGAATATTGGTCTCTTCTCGTTCCTCATGTAAAAAATATTGTAGGCATATTAAAGTTTAAATAAAAGCGTATCTTGACAGTGGTAAAAAGTATAATTTGAACTTGTATTATTTTTACTTATCACAAAATTAAAAAACACATTTCAGTTTGCATGATTTCGTCTCACCTTTGGCGATCTCATCTTTTTTATCGATAAAAAACTTATAAAATAGTGGGTATTCAAAGAAAAAATTAAGATAGATAATAAAACCTTTACAATAAGACTAGCATCTCTTTTCCTTCCTAAATTACCTAATTGTTACAAACTTAATCAAATAAATGCATTGTTTTCGATCTAGTTGAAAAAAAGTTGACCTTAGAAAAACCACTAACGAAAACTAAACTTACTATTAATTAATACTGAAAAATACCTTAGCTTAATAAATGCGTGTTTGATCATATCAAACGTACGTAAATGTACATACACTTACTATATAGTTACCATTGTACCTTATGTACTCGCTTAATCGTAAATCTAAAGATTTATGGGTTACTAAGGACTCGTACGTGATCTGACTAACTTAAATACATTAACAAACCGACATTATAATGAGGATATTAATACGTTTGGCAAGACAAATGTACCATACATTAAGTTTCAACGTAAACGGACTCAGTTTGATTATTTAATTCAATATAATCAACAACTTCCCAGTTGTTTTCGGGTTCTTCTTGCAACTGTGGTGGTAATGCTGCACGCGCTAGGGGCGTCCCGGCCTCATCCAAAGTGTGGTAAGCGCGCAAAGCTGCCTCCTGGTCGTCGTCAAAGGATCTCGCCCGAGCATTGAATGGACCGCCGATATCTTGACTCGGTAAATCCCAAACGTGCCATTGCGGTGTCATCTTGAAATTCTGTTAAGTACACAAATAAAGTATATGTCATTTGATATCAGTTTTGGAAGGCAAAGGGGCATAGATCAGTGAATCACACAGTGTCACATAATCTTGTTAACACCCACAAGTGCTAAAAAAGGGGGGCCCATGGAAATTTCGTCCAGGATGTTAGTACAGCTAAAACCTCTACTGGTTTTAATACTTTCGTATAGTATAGCTATAGTCGAGTATCGTCTACATCTGATCATTATTTCGATGACAGACTATTAACTTGGTACGTGCTTATTATTTTTATTAAGGACACAATTGCAGAAAATACTTGTTTGTAGTGGTATATTATGTCAAATTGCATGTCTACATAATATATGAGGTAAAGAGCTAGTCATACTTTTATGTAACAAAACGTAAACAGTATATGTAATTTAAAGAAAATAGAATGATAGAGGTGAAGCGCAAGTTGTGTGATTTTATAAACTCTGACAACCATGTTTATGACGTGGAGCGGAGTACTTAATAGATACAAGATAATAGGAACGTAAGCACTATAAGTACACTTTACAAGTGGCAATTGATAATATATTAATAGATCAGTATTTGCAAGTTACAAATGCCATTTATTAATAGTGAAAGTTAATAAATTGTACTTATATAAGTACTAGCTTTCGCCTGTGATTCCGTTCGCGTAGAATAATAAAAAACTAAGTAGCCTATGTCTTCTTCCAGGCCATCAAAATTTATGACTTTTATAAATTTTCTCATTTATAATATTAGTAAGAAGTAAGATGTATATAAAATACTAACTGTTGCTTGCGACTTCGCTCGCGGGAAATTAAATATAGCCTATGTCACTCAGAGATAAATTTCCTTTCCAATGGTGAAAGAATTTTTAAAATCGGCCCATTAGTTTTTGAGTTATTCCAATACATATAAAAATACAAATCTTTCCTTTTTATAATATTAGTACAGATTACATCAATAAATTTTGATTACATTTCGTATATCAAGTTCGTATATATTTACCATTTAATTAATGAAACGTTTGCATGTTATGTAATTGAAGAGAGGAAATAAAATGTTATAGAGTGTGTACGAACTACTTCCAGTTTCCATGTACGGTGCACGAGTGTCATTGGAGCCTTGACAGTAACCACAGAGTATGCGATCCTCCGGCCGGCGTCAAGCGTCCTTGTCGACTTCCGACGACGACGCACTGACATTTCCGCCAGCTTAAGTTATTACTAAAGTTAAAACTTTAATTGCGTTAAAGTCGATAACCCTATAGGAAGGTAAACGAGACAAGTTTGAAATAAACGTTCGTAATTATTTTTAAATATTTGAAAAGCCATGATTTGTCATTAACTCGCCCCTCTCTGTCTGTCTCAAAGCGTAAACAAAACTTTGTATCAAAACGGCATTTCACGTCTGTCAACGGACTAATTATTCGCGTTGAACTCTTTTCTATTTGATATTTCGAAGAATCATTTTTCGTTTTTTTTTTTATTCAAAACCGCACGTTCGAGGTAAGTAAATCAGATTATTATTATTTTTATTTACATTAACATTAACACTTTACTATAAATGTGTATAATTTTAAATCTTCTAGGTTTATTACTTTTCATTACGAAATACATAAATTACTCTACATTTGTAAAATTCATCTGAAATAGATCGAGAGTTCTTTGAGGAAGTTTTAAAGTTATATAATCAAGGAAAGTACGTAGTCACGATTCTTATTCGTCAAACTGACACGATAAATGTCCAATATTCTTTGATCACGACGCTAATACTTAGCACTCTACGTCACAACACGACAATAATTTATCACGGTCCAATTTAAACGTCCTGATAAATAATGACAAATTGGCGGATAACACCGGCAAACGGCAGAGATCGGCAAATAATTACGACAGCGCCGGTGACGCACGGACAGAAGCCATAAAACAGCCGCGGCGCTGTTTGACGGACAAACAGACGATAATCGGTCTTGTTGTTCAACGATTTACCGTTGAGTACCCACTTCTAACCTTAATATAAACAATATGATCTTCCTTGGAAATAAAAAATGTAATCAAAAAATGATTCCGAACATATTTAAAAAAAGTTATAACCACAACCGTAAAATATGAGGTATCATGCGTTAGGATGGTCACTGAATTAATTTAAGGCTCGAAGTTTATCCTTTTGATTCGTTTTTTATTATAATATAAGATGGCAAACGAGGAAGCGGCCACCTGAATCCACCGAAGTGGAAAGCGACCGCTGCCCATAAATATCCGCAATCGCAGATGCGTTGCCTACCCTTAATTAATAGAGGAAGAGACGCACATAAGATATTTCCCCTTCCTATGCGTCTCCTCTACCGTCAAATCCAATTTTCCTTCCCATCCTTTCCTCTTAAGAAAAGGGTGGTAAGGTAAAGGGACTAAAATTAGGCATTCGGCACCACACTCATCAGACAAAACGCGGAATTGCTTCCATTTCATGCCTGTTTTCTGTGTGGTTGTGGTATTACACCGGGCGAGCCGGCCCATTCGTGCGAAGATTTTATAGCGGTCTCTACCACTGTTAAACTAATAACCACTGTTGCTTCACTATCGTTTATATTACTAATAGTTTTCGCGACTTTGTGGTCTTTACGTTAAAACTCTAACAAACATCCATCCTTCCAAACTTTCCCATTCATGATATTGGTAAAAATCTTGCAACAGCCTGTATCAATTTCATAAGACTGAAAAAATCCCGAAATTAGGTAAAAATTGAAAACGCTTTAGATGATATCCATATGGTCCACATGCAAATTGCACGTGTCCACCAGAAAACAAGATAACAAAAATGCGGACAGATTTAAGGCATCATTAGGTTTAGCTTGTTTTAGTTAAGATAACGGATGATTAGTACAAGACGTTACAATAAAGGTTCATGCACAGTAAAGCGCAGATTTTTTTTTGGAAATATATTCGCTTACCCTATTTGCATTTTTTATAATTTGATAAATGACCGACAAGAACCTAGATTTTTGTAAATAATTTTCAATCATGATAAGGCGATTTATGCCCTGTGTGTGATCCCGATAAACTTATTTGATACTTGTTAGAGTCATTGATATCCAAATGACACTGTAAACGCATCTAACCTTTTGAAGCTTTATTCGTATTTTTTCTATTTTAACATATTTAAGAAGTGTACTTTCATTGTAAATGTGACCTTATGTTTTTTCAACTATAGCCGTCGCTAGTCTGTGTGAGCCCTTAGAGAATACCGTGTTATCTATCTGCAGTAGTGTTTATGGCCCCGGTGATTGAATAGAGCACGTGAGCTGACGTGTGGATGTCGAACAACAATAGGATTAGGGGCTATTTGATGGCAAAACACGCCGCACAGCCGCCTACGACTCTCAATCCGTCTCATTAATTGTGGCATTCACTGATAACATGTTATGCGGCCTTACCCGTAACCTTTCTATGCGTTACGTAAACTAAATCACTACTACTTTGAATTCTCCAATTTTTTTCCTAGGAAAAAAAATTAACCCCACTGGTAAAAATATTCACGAGGCCCGAAGGAATTTGATCGTTTTAGGTTCTAATCTTGAAGAAGTTTCATGGTGATGTAAAACCTAATCATATATGAAAACAAAAATTAAAACATGAAAAAAGTTAGTTCCATAAATAAATTCAAGAGTTTGATTCTAAAATAATTCCGAACTATTTCAATAAGGTACTTACCTCAGGCAAGCAGTGGTGTTGTTGGCAGAAGTAGTCATTGCCGCCATCGTTGTGACACCAGGTGCCGTCCGGGAAGTAAGGGTCGAGTCCGGCCGCGTTCAGCTCGACGCGCGGCGCGTAGAACCCGCCGCCCGCCGCGCGCCGGCAGAAGATCGCGCACCCCATCCACATGCGAGCTGCAAACAACTTTATATCCTCAATATCATTGAAAAGGGTACAAATTTTCGGTTTTTCCGTCCAAATATGACGTAAAGGCCTTTAAGAAAAGATTAAATGGGTATTTACTAGGGTAGCGCGTACCATCTTTTGACCACATATTCACTCAGAAGGTGAGATCACTCTTCAGAAGGTGGGATCGTGGTCGAGCGCTAACTTAAAAAACATAAAATAATTAATATACATAGTAAAGACTACGAAGCCTCTGTGCTTTGTCACTTTAAACTGTGTCATTAGAGATGCTTCATCAAAACAAACTGTGACAAGTCATTACAAGAAGTTCACTCACTTTAACGACGGTGACGCGTATATGCGGTGTACAGTCAGCTACATAAATATGTGCACTTGCAAATCTTCAAAAATTTGTATAACTACAAATATTTGTATAACTACTGGTTTCAAAAATATTAATGCACCAATCCATCATTTTTTTTAAACCGAAGCCGTATACAATTATCTAAAATTTTGTAGATTACATATTTATGCAGCTGATTGTACAGTAGTTGCCATATATTATAAAATACTGTGTGTGCAACTAACACTGGTCGTGCGGCGCCTGCAGGCCGCCGCCGCGCGCGTCCAGCGCGGGCAGCCGCGCCGCGTACTCGCCGCAGCGCCGCGCCGCGTACTCGTTCGCACTCACACGCCGCTTCTTGCCGCACACCTGGACATTACATTTTTTCAATTTATGCTTTACATTCATTCTATTTATGCTTACTATTATGATTCTTGCCAAGAAAAAGGAGGATAGCTATTGTGATATATTTCTATTTTCTTAATTTCAGATAAATCTGTATATAATTGTTTAAACCTTAGTATCATCGCAGAGCGTGACTTCGTATGCGGCGCCCTCGCAGACAGCGCCCGTGCTGCAG